GTTCTAGGGTTCTTCTCTCTATAGCAGACTCCTTCCATTTATCTTTTACATTAAAAAACTGCCTCTGTATGTGCTGTACCTCAAAACCAAGACACATATCAAAAATAGGTTAAAAATTACCAGCCAGTGTTGTTCCTTTTCATACAAATAATTTTGTTGACCTGTTGTGGCTATGGTGGCTTTTGAGTGATAATTCTGTTCCAAAAATTAGAGGGGACTACCCAGCTCACAGCGAATACAATATAGGAACTTATACACAAGCTTAGAAGAAACTCATTCAAGAAACAGAGACACTACATGATATATTAGAGGAAAAGAGTAAAAAATAAGCCAAGGCTGGAGAACTCATGGTGTGTGTTCATAGCTATAGAACAGTCCTTGAGATAGTAAACTGGAGGCAAGGTAAACAGGTAAGATGCTTTAGTCGTGGACTTAAAGTAAAAGGAAAATAATTGAAAAACATTGAATAGATAACAAAATGCATAGAACTGATGATCTTTTTAAAATATCTCAGTGGGGAGGAGCAATGGTGGAGGATTGGATACCTGGGAGCTGGGTGAAGAGGTACGTCGTGGGCAGTGAACTAGCACTGTAGACAGACATTTAGGAAAGATAACTGGGTGGGCTTGTGTGTGGTGGAGCTTGAAGAGGAAATGGAAACAAGGTGGTTGATTAGGTCATGAGTTGTATATTTTTTCAGGCAGGAAAAAATGGAAACGAGAACTGAGGTCTTACTGGAAGATAAAATTAAAAAAGGAGAGAACAAACTTGGGAGATGCATATTTGGCACCTACTTGGACAGTGGACTGTGAAATAGGAGAAGCTATAAATGACTCAGAAGTTGAAGTCAACATAAATGAAGGGTGAGTCTTCAATTCTATTTTTTGAGATGACACAAAAGAAAAAGACAATGGAAGAGATGTTGAGTTCAATTCTAAACAAGATGAGGTGTGAGCAGAATAACCATATGAAGATGTCGATTAGGTAGCTACAAAGGTAGGTATAGAACTCTGGAAAGTTTGTTTATAAACATTAATTTAAAAAATGAAAACATTATTGCTTATTATTTATTATGCCTATTTGTATTTTTAAATTATAATACTACTTATAATTAATGTCCATTGCTTCCTGAAAAGAACACCTAGCTATTCTCCAATTACCTAATGAAATTCATGTTCTATTTGTTATCATTTTCACTGGGGGCAGGGTAAAAAAAAGAATTCAGTGGCTAATAACATCATCCGTGAAAAATAAATAATTATTGTAATGTCCCTCCAGTATTTAAAAATGTAGTCATCTTTTGTTTTTGTTTTATTTTTAACAGTGTAGATTTAAATTATTTGTTTTTGCCAGAAAAGGCTTATTTTAAAAAAATTTTTGAGAAATAAGAGATGGTGAATATGGTCAAATATTGCCTAAGAGTCAACACAACATGGACAAAAAAAAGCATCCCTGGACTCCGACAACAAACATATTAGTAGTCATTTTTGCAGAAAAGAATTTAGGAGAAAAGATCTCTCAGCAGAAGCCTCCTATTATACACTAAGCTCTAATTTGATTTATCCTTTCATTATGCTCTCAAAGCTCAGGGGAAATTTTTCTTCCTCATAATTAAGCTAATTCCCTCCATCTGCAGTGTATACCCCAACACGTCCCATATGTGGGGCAGTTCTTTCCTCATTAATATGCCCCTGTGGATTTCCCGCTCCTCCTCTCAGTGGAGAATGGCACTCCATCACACAACTGAAAAGAACAAACATCTCTCATTGGTTCCACCAGCGGGGAGATACTATGTTGTCCCCTTTAACAACAAACTCCTGAAAAAAAAGTTTCTTCTCTGCCTCTGCTTATTATGAATAAATTCTCTGTTAAGTTTTGTAAACTCATTTCTACCTCCACCGTTCTATTGAAAATGCTCTCCAAAAGGTCACAGAGAGACAGGCTTTTGTCAGATATAATGGCTTTTTCTCTGCCACCATGTCCCTTGACCTTTCTGAGACATTGTTACTGCTGACTTCTCCAGTTTTTCTTGAAAGTGTTTCACTTTGGGATGCTAATACACTGTATTTCCTCATCTTCCAGGTGACACACTTTCCTTCTCTTCACCAGTTCTGTATCCTTTCCAAGAAGCTGCCCTTCATTCCCTTCTCTTCCCTCTTCATGATCCTTTTTCTAAAAACCAACCAACCAACCAACCAACCAACCAACCAACCAACCAACCAACCAAAAAAAAACCTCCTTTTTTTCATGGCTGCTACTCAAAAACTTTAAACTTATGGATACAGAACCTAGCTGGAGGATTCAAAGTGAGTTTCCCCAATTTCCAAGTGTCTCTAGAATACTTCTATGGGGATGTCACATGAGCATCCACACCACCTGTCATTCCTTTGCAACTTCTGTATTTTATCGCTTTCCCCATTCTCTCATACTTAGGACCTTGGGGTTTTGTATAGTTAATGTAACCCAGTGTCTAGTCTTTTCTTGTGAAACAGCATGACAATCACTAATGCAGTGACAGCACCACACAGAGAGTATGATTATGTTTTTAAAGCATATATATTTATATACCTGAAAGAACATATAACAAGATATTAGCATTTTAAATGGTTGCAAATTTCTGTGATTTTCAAAAACTTAATTCCTGATAATTCCACATTTAATATTATTCATGACTATAAATAATTTTGAAAGTAAACAAAATTCACTTCCTCACTGCATCCTTTCTGTACCATTTTTCCAACATTTATTTTATACTATTGAGATTACCATAAAAAACTCCTGGTTTAAATTCCTGATTCTATATTATTTCTATAGGATTTCACCTTACATACTATTTCAAGACTTACCATACTTCCCATTCATGTCCTAAGAATCCAAACTGTCACTTCGGCCTCCCATAATTCTCCTTCCCTGGATTTTCAGAACCGCCTTTATGTGGCCACATACCACAGCTGAAGTCTTACTGTCTTCTCTTCCTTATGTGGCCCCTGGCATCTAGTCTGGTCCCTGGTCCTCCCCTTGCAACCCCCTGCTAACATAACACTCATTCCTGCCTCTGGGTCAACTCCTAATGTAGAGCTACCATGTACTGAACTGAACCAAATGGCAAGCATCAACTCTTGTTTCTTATAACAATCCTGCTAGGTGAGTATGAGGGTCTTCATTCAATAGATAAGGAAACTGAAGCTCAGAAACATTAAGTAATTTAAGGAAAGGCACATTCCTAGCATGTGACAAAGAGAGTCAAACTCTTGCCTTTCTAGTATAAAGCCAATACTGCTTCCATCACCCTTTATAATCATCTCCCTGACTCAGGTGCTCTTACATATTTCTAAAATCCCAGTTAAGTCCATCATCTCCCTGACGTTCTCACTGACTGCCACAGACCACAGGAATGTCTCTATTCTCTGGACTCCTAATGTAACAAATCTGTCTTTCAGAAGTTCACCTCTATGCCCTTGATTATACTCTCTTGGAATTGAAACAATCTCTTATGACTTGATTATAAATTTTGTAACATCAAGCACAATTCTGAACATATGGCAGTGATATTAGCATAGTATATTTCAATAAATTGTTCATTGATTATATTTTTAAATCAAATGTCCCACTACTGAGAACTTTTTGGAAATTTAAAATAATTATAGTATAAAATATGCATAAATATTTAATGTAAACTAATTATAGGAAATTTACAGTGCATAGTATATCACTTTTCCCATTATATACCAACAGTAAAATAAAGCCCCAAACACAATATGCTTATAATAAGCAGTAACAATGCACCTTTTATCTGATCAGCAAGCTTTCTCTCACCAGGAAGAGTGTTAAAAATAGAGCAATTTTTCTACATAGTTTTTCCATTTCTGCAGATGTATCTAAAGCTTAATTATAATTTTTGATGTGAAGATTTGATATGTCATTTTATCTCTACCATGAATTTTTCTTACAGTTTAAAATTGCTAATTTGCCTACTTTTCTTCCAGAAAAATGAATATTTCAAATCATATAAAATCACTTATAATGATCATTTATTCACTAAAAATAAAAAAATACAAGCCATTCACTTTTATATGTCAGCTGTATGGTTAAGATAAGATATGGTAATAACTCAGGTTAATATTTAACATATACATAGAAAGGTGAAATAGGAATTACTTAATGTAAGTTAAAATTTGTGAAAATAAGTGTATGCAAATATTTAAGACTAATGTTTATCACATGTATGCAGAATTACTTTTACTCTCTGGGAGATAAAGATATGGCTTCCTTTTACATAAATATAGACACAAATGTCTTAAAAAAGGTATAAAATATTTGGAATAGGCTTGAACCTAAAGAGATTGTAATTAATTGGAATTTCTCTCAATATTTTTGTCTTTCTTTTCTTCATTGTCCTCTTCTTTTAACACCTGTCTTAAGAGTACACAGCTAAACTCTTGACTTCTTCCCTCAGAAAGCCTGCTTTTATAGTCTTTTTAAAAAAGTATTCGTTTTCAAATTAATGAACTGCAAGGCAAAGGATTATTTCTGCCAAAACTCTGCATATTTAATTAATGGGGAAAATGGTTGTATCTTTCAGGTTAAACCGTATGAAACCACTGTTTTTGAGGTAAAAATAGTTAAATATAGGAGATTTCATAAAGTTCAATCAATTGTAAGGATAAGTTTTAGGCATTTGTCATAACCTGGCTAGAGACTCTGAAATCCATACTGTCCTCTCAGCAATTTATGAAAAGCATTCAATTGTCCATTAGATAAATAAGGAGCAGTATATACTAACAGTTCCAGCACTTTGATTAACTTATCCAAAATCTGCCAGAAAACACAAAATCTATTTTATTTTAGCCCAAATGTCAATTTATTACTGATTACATTTAAAATATATGAGGAGGGTACACCAGTATTTTCCAGTACTTGGGCATCTCAAGGCTTCACCCAATTCTAATTGTAAAACCAGTCTTGTTCATAACTTTGTAGGGTTTACAAAGTGTTCTTACCTGCTTTGGATGTCTTTTCATCTTTTTTACTTTCAGGTTCTGGGGTAAAACATAACATATATCCACACATACAAACAAGCAAACAAGGAAAAAAATAAGCATGCAATAAAAATAGTACCAAGTAGTTTAATAGGCAGATTTTATAGATTTTTCTCATATGTTCTCTATTTCATTTACAGCTACAGTTTTATCAATATACAATGGAACATGTATTATTGGTAAATTATAAAGTAACAAGCAAAAAAACTTTGATTTTTAAAATCCAGTTTTCTAAAATAGTTTAATACTAATAAAATAACTTGGCATCTGATCTTTAGTGATTCTTTAATGGTCTTTAATAAAATATCTAAGAATTTAAAATAAGGAAATTAATAAAAACTGAATTTTCTATTTTCAACTACTTACGCTCAATTCATGGAGCTCCACCTGGTGGTTAATTTAATCATTTCAAACTGTATAATGTTTCTATTAATACTTGTTACTATTAATTGCATAAAAAATTAAATTGGCCTAAATTCAGTATGATATAAACAATCAATAGAATGAAGTATTTTTATATTTTATTGTTCTGAGACAATGGTTCTTATCTAGCAACTCTGCATTTTAATTTATATCAGTATAGGATAAATATATAATTCTATAATCTATATAACAGATACTCGTGGTACTATCCAGCCAATGTGATAGTTGACTATATTTGCATGTTTCCTAGTCCTTCCTCTTATTTAGCAACTTTCCTAGGCCTTGTAGTTTTCATTTGACATAAAGAACTATATTTTGATTAACAAAGGGTTCTGGTACATTGTGGTTTTTCTTCCCTTTCAATAGCGGAGAAACTGATCTCATGGGTGGGATACTTACTGGGTATAGAGTGTGTGTCAAGGATAGTGCCCGTTAAAAGCACATTATACCTACCCACCAGACATTTGACATTTCTGCACGTTATCTTCGTATTTGCATATTTATTTGTTGGCACTATCTATACAACTATCAGATGCAACTACCCAGAGTAGCTAAGTGAATTAACTAGTTTGTAGCTGGTTATTTTAAAGCTGAACCCAGAGTCCCAATCTACTGAGCTCAGTACTTTTTCTGTAACATATATACACACACACACACAAACATTCCTTGCCCACACACATTTTCTACGTGTCTGTTTTCCTCTTTCTCTCTCACCTTTCATTTCCACTGGACCAACAACAAAAACAGTTATGCCTTATAAACATCTATAGCTATAGTTCTAAAATGCCTCTAGTTTGTAATGCAAGCACTTAATTTATGACTCAGTGCTTTATACCGAAATCCTGAATCTGCAGCCCTTCCTTGGCAAGATTCCCCCTAGTACGTTCATGCTCCCAAAGAAAGTTTGCTGAATGGACAGAGTGGACAATAAAAGCACAAAATGAACCAAGGGGCATTACTGTCCTTTTGCAGTACAGAATAAATGCATACATTTTTCCTGCCTCACCTGTTATCATTTTATTTTCATGATCCTTTGTCTCTTGTACATGCTGAATGTGATGTATGTATCATTGCATTTAGATCTGATAGTGTCACTCATCCTTATCTGCTCTTTCTTCTATGAATCATTATATGTGCCTCATTATTCTTTCTTTCCCTGAAGCATCAATGTGAAGAGTACACATTGAAATAAGTAAGAAATGAAGAAGGCTAAACATAGTGTAAGTTGCACAAAAATAGTCAGGCAGAGAAGATCCTGTGATGTTATTTAAAGATGGCAGGATAGCTGGTTGGATATATTTACAGTAATGAGCCAGTTAATGTTAAACCATTCAATGTGTTCAGAAAGCTCTGCAAAAACCACTTGCCCAGGTAAATAAGCAGACATTCTTTGTTATTCCTTTACCAAGGCAGAATCACTCTTCAACTAGACTCTTTTTTATTTGTTTCCATGTGCATCAGCATTTTCTTTAACTTGAAGTGAGAATAATCAATTAAATTATAAAGGGGGAGAGGTTTAAGTAAGGATAATTCTATATCTGGTTCAAAGATGTAAAAATAATGACCTCATATGAAAGATAATACATTTAAATTATTTAAGTGAACAGGAAACATAGAAAAATGTATTAGGGTATTTTTAAAAATTCCCTGCAAGAAGAGAAGCATATTAGAACATCTACGTAAGGTATCCTGGAGTGACAAGTACAGTGAACATGCAGAGTGACTGTGACTCATTCCCTCGCTCTGCTCTGTCCCTTACAGTGAGGACTTAAATAGAAAGGACATTACAAAAGTGATGGAGGGCTTTGTATTAACCATTGTCCGTAAGTTCCATAGACATATAGTTGTGCATATACTATCATTGTAAATTTGTTTTGGAGAAAAAAAAATCACAGTGCTTGGATACATTAATTTTGTAAAGTTAATGATGATAGAGAAAATTCTGGCAATCAATTATTTTTCTTACCAACATGTACCACATTTTAATTGATCAGCTTTGCATTTTGCTGTGATGGGCATAGCCAAAAAAAGTTTTAGGCTGTAGGTTGCTGCTTAGAGTGAAAGTGCTATTATTACTGGTACAATTTTTTAGTTAAACTATTTTTAGGAAATGAATAACCATGGATTTGTAAAGGCAAATACTAACATTTTATACTTTAGAATGCTAAACTTTTTTATCAACGAATTATCTGTAACTTTTCTTCATTCCTACTAGGTATAATAAAAATATTATTAAAAAAACTCATCCCCTCTGGTCACTAACAGTTTGTTCTTTATTTCCAAGTCTCTGGTTCTATTTTGTTCATTTGTTTGTTTTGTTGAATAGGTTCCACTTATAGATATGATCACATGGTATTTGTCTTTCACCACCTAGCTTAGTTCACTTAGCATAATACTCTCCAGTTCCATCCATGCTGTTCTCAAGGGTAGGAGCTCCTTCTTTCTTTCTGCTGCGTAGTATTCCATTGTGTAAATGTACCACAGTTTTTTTTTATCCACTCATTTACTGATGGGCATTTAGGCTGTTTCCAGCACTTGGCTATTGTAAATTATGCTGCTATGAACATTCGGGTGCATAGGTTCTTTTGAATTGGTGATTCAGGATTCTTAGAGTATAATCCCACCAGTGGGATCACTGGATCAAAAGGCAGTTTAATTTTTAGCTTTCTGAGGAAATTCCATGCTGTTTTCTGCAGTGGCTGTACCAGTCTACATTCCAACCAACACTATACCAGGGTTTTCTCCATATCCTCCAGAACACCTATTGTTTGTTGATTTGTTAATGATGGCTGTTCTGACTGGTGTGTAAATAGTATCTCATTGTGGTTTTAATTTGCATCTCTCTAATGCCTAGTGATGTTGAGCATTTTTACATATGTTTGTGGCTCTCTGCATGCCCTCCTCGGAGAAGTATTTGTTTAGGTCATTTGCCCATTTTTTAAATTGGATTGTTTGTCTTCCTGAAGTGGATTCATATGAGTTCTGTATATGTTTTGGAGATCACACCCTTGTCTGAGGTATTAATGGCAAATATGTTTTCCCATATGGTTGGTTCTCTTTCCATTTTGTTGATGTTTTCTTTAGCTGTGCAGAAGGTTTTCAGTTTGATATAGTCCTATTTGCTTACTTTTTTTCTTCTCTTGACCTAAGGGATGTATTGATAAAAATATTGCTGAATGGGATATCTGGAATCTTTCTACCTATATTTTCTATTAGGACTTTAATGATGTCACAACTTCTAACCAAGTCTTTCTCTATCTTGAGTTTATTGTGGTATATGGTATAAGTTGGTGATCTAGTTTCATTTTTTTTATGTTCTTGTTCAGATCTCCCAACACTGTTTATTGAGGATGCTATTTTTACTCCATTTTATGTTCCTGCCCCCTTTGTCAAATATTAAGTTGACCCTATTGACATGGGTTTATTTCCAGGCCCTCTATTCTGTTCCATTGATCTATATATCTGTTCTAGTGCTAGTACCAGGCTGTTTTGATTATAGTGGTTTTGTAATATAGTTTGATATCAGATATCATGATCCTTCCTACTTTGCTCTTCTTTCTCAAAATTGCTGAGGCTATTCAGGGTCATTTATGGTTCTATGTACCCTTTTGAAATATTTATTCTCTATCTGTGAAATATGTAATTGGTATTTTGATAAGGATTACATTGAATCTATTGATTGCTTTGGGTAATATGGATATTTTAATGATATTAATTCTTCCAACTCATGAACAGAGTATATGCTTCCATTCATTTGTGTCTTCCTTAATTTATTTCTTCAGTGTTGTTTAGTTTTCTATGCACAGCTTTTTTACCTCCTTGGTTAGTTTTTTCCTAAGTATTTTATTTTTCTTGTTGCTATGGTAAATGGGATTTTTTTCCTTAATTTCTGTTTTTGGTATTTCATTATTGGTGCCATTACTGGCACTAAAAATGCCTTTGATTTCTGAATGTTGACTTTGTATCCCACCATTTTGCCAAAATCATTTATTAGGTTGAGTAGTTTTTGGTGGAGTCTATAGGGTTTTCTATGTACACTATCATGTCATCTGCAAACAGTGACAGCTTTACTTCCTCCTTTACAATTTAGATGCCTTTTCTTTCTTTTTCTTGTCTGATTGCTGTGGCTAGCAATTCCAATACCATGTTCAGTAAAAGTTGTAAAAATGGACACCCTTTTCTTCTGTCAAGGCGCATTAGTAAGAGAGATCATTGTTACTTTAGAGAGTAAAATAAAAAGACTAGTGAAATGTTTTCATGTAGTTATTTGAGGCCTCAATTTCTAAAAGACATAATTGAACAACATTTAGACTAATAGTTCTGGTGTATTGCATCTAATTGACATTTTCTGGAAATATTTGTCTCCTCATTCTTGTCATTAAAAATTAGGAAGAAATAGCACAATAATGTAAAAATTCAGTATTAAGGCCCTGGCTGGCATATCTCAGTGGATTGAGTGTGGGCCTGTGAACCAGAGTATCACGGTTCAATTCCCAGTCAGGGCACATGCCTGGGTTGCAGGCCAGTTCCCGGCAGGGGACGCATGAGAAGCAACCATACACTGATGTTTCTCTTCCACTCTTTCTCCTTCCCTTCCCCTCTCTTGAAAAATAAATAAAGAAAATATTTTTAAAAAATTCAGTATTAGTGAAATAGAATGTAACTTTTAAAATACATTTTTTCCAAAATGATCCCTTTCCCACCACCATTATCTGTGACCATGAACTAGCTAATGCTAGACTGACCATCTAATGTGCAATGACAGAAAGATAAAAGAAGACAGAAAAATCTTAGGTTAATATTTTTCAAAGATCAAACACTCAAATAAACACTAAGAATTTTTAATGGAAAGAAATTGTTTTTTATTTATATATGTAGTCCATATGCATCTCTTCTGGGGGGAATTTTTAATTAAACTTCCTTAATGTGGATATTTATAACATTTCTATCTGTTCCTCATTTATAATATTTAGATTAGCAAAGGTATTATAACATCACTGTATGATTAAATTATTTAATGGCATCAATTTCTATTTAGATTGCTATGTAAACACCCATTCCAATCAACAATTAGATACTACTAAAGAAATTTAGAGTTTTTTCAAAATAAATTAATGTTTAGTCTTCACCATTAATTAATTCTTTGAAAAATATAGTAACATTTCCCCACTTATTAGAAACTTAACATAACATGTAATAATCTTTTGTAAGGTCAAATATCCTAATTTGCCCATTATTCCAGAGTAATATAAAATTGTCTTCAGCACCAAAATAGCTATTATCATCGGTGATTGTAAAGGTGAAGTTTTAGATATGATAATACATTTCCATAGTAAAATAGAAATGTTTTAATATGTTTGGAGTCTATGTTGCTTTAAAAAATTCAAGTTCATATGTGGATTGAGAAAAAATCATGTTGTGCTCTTGTGTTTCATAACAATTTTGTTTAATTTAAAATTAACAGCAAAGTTAGAAAAATATGACTTAAGGGTATGTTTCTTACATGTTGCTACATGAGCTGATGGGGACTCCTCCCCATGCTTCCTTTATTTCTCTGACTGATTCCCTGCCAGCTCTCTCTTTCTACAGTTCTCCCATATCTCACACAACTCCACCTCATGTTTATACAAGTTCACCAAAAATCTTTTTAATAAATAAAACAATGTCAGTACGTTGGAATTTTTACTACTAAGCACCTGTACATTGCTTTCGGGAAAAGTCATTAAGATGTTACTACTGGTTTGACCTTTGACCAGGAGTTCAACTGGAAGCCCCCCATTTTCTCTCCTGTGCCTGGAATGTATGCTCGCTTGTCTTCCCTAGTTAGAAGCTGCCCAAGTTCACAGCTTTGAGATAATAATGTGCTGATGAGACTATCTGCACCGGGTACATGACCAAAGCCTATGAAATCTGTTTCTACATGACTAAACCTAGTTACGGTCTATATATAAACTTAATATTCTAGCAGGCTGGTGGGGAAATCTACTGCTTTGTGGTCATCAAGACCAGCCTTTTAAGTAATTCCTCCTGCTTATTAAAACTGCCTCCTGCTAATCTGGAGTGGCCTGCCTTCTTCAGCCTCCTCGTCTCCTCCAGTTACAGAGGCCCGTTTCGTATTTCACCCAGGAAGCTCCCCGCCAGGTTTGCAAAGCAACAATTGGTCAGTATTTCATGAAGATCTTCAAGGTAAATGTAGAAACAGGTTCTATTTCTAGCATTCATATGGCAGATATATTTATGGTTTCAGTGGTTCACAAATACGTTCATTTTGACAAAAAGACAGAGAATTCTGAATATGATACACTGAGATTAATCAGAAATTAAAGCTAGTACACTGAACTTAGCATATTTACTTATGTTTGGGGGGATATATTTTATGTGTGGTATAACAGAACCCACATCACTCCAAGACCAGTACAAATGGGGAGACAGGAGATGCCATCAGATGCAAGAGCAGGAGCCCAGGGCTTGATTTAGACCAGAATTCTAATGTTGCCTCTGTTGGAAATTGCAATCACCTTGAAAAGTTTCTTTACTTTTCATTTTGTTTACTTATAAGAAAAGGGTAATGGACAATAGCTTACCTCTAAGTTTCTCCTAGCCATAAAAATTGCTTAGGATTTTACTGTATTTAACCTTAAGGTATGGCAAGGTATCACGGAAATTTTATGTATTGCTTTTTATCTTGAATCTTTAGTTTCCATGGTTATTCCTCATAAGATTCACATTAGGGCTACGAGATGTGGATTTCCCACCACAGACTGATAAAATCAGAATAACCTGGATTTTTAAAGCTTTTTAAATATTTCTGACATAGTTGCTCTTTCCTTTGTAGTGTCATAGTACAGTTTAGAATTTTAGCATTGGAAATAAGTCTTTTTATTCTTTGCTCAAAAACATCTGAGGGCTTATGAAAGTTATAGCTTGAGAGCATTAAAAAGAAATGATATAGTAACTGAATATTGTAGCTGAATATCCAATAGGCAGATCAATGTGTTTTCACATTCCATGTATGACGTTACCTTTTTCCTTTAGGGAAGCTGGCAACTTCACTTCTTTCTCTTTAATAGGCTCTGGAAAGAAACATTGAGTGTTTTATTTTCAGCCAAGATAAAAACGTTCAGAACACATATGCAAGGGAATCAGTGATCTATCAGTAATGCAAACATGTAGAAATGATGTTTTCTCTCAAAAATCATTTTAATCATAGAGACAAAGATACAGCAATATAGAGAATAATAAGCCATTCTCTGGTTATTTTTATTTAACATACATGTAAACTGTTTAAAGAATTACAATCCACTTGTTCATCTAAGAGGGTAGGCATTTAGATGGATAAGAACTTATTTTATCTGTAATTTTTAAAAACACATGGACAGAGGGAAGGGGGATGGGGCAAGGAAGAGGTGGGCAAAGGGGGGAAATGGGGACATCTGTTGTAGTGTTGTCAACAATAAAAATAAAGTTAAAAAATCCCCATAGTTTCAGCATCCAAAATTGCTCTCAACAGTCATGATCAGCACTAACTTATTTTTATCAGGCCATGTGTTTTTCAAATAAATAAACAACCAAATGGAAAAACCTCCATATAGCCTGTAAATGTGGTATTTTAGTCACCAGATTTGTCAATAAACTTCAAGAACAAGACTAAAATAAAATATGAGAGACAATTTCTTCAGTGAACTACCAACATCTTTAAAATGTGGCCCTTAATTAAAGTAAATCAAGTAAAACTTTATTTATTCTACTAGGTTTAAATACAAAGTGATTCTGATCATATTATGGGTTCCAGACATGTATGCAGGCAATATCTTAAACAACGTTACATGTTCTCAACAAACTATATTAAAACAAAAACCCATTTCCTGCCTTCTCTGCAACATTAAATTCACTATCCATTTTGCTGACAAAAATGACTTTTAAGACAGTGTGAAAGGAAGAAAGAAATCTACACTTTCAGCTCTTTTTTCCCATTCCCACCTTATGGTTTGGATGGGAATTCAGAGAATATGATCTCAGCACTTCTATGGATACAACATTCAAACAATTATGTAGAATTAATGGAGTCCAGGTGGCTTTGGAGAGTGTGAAGAATGAATTTAGGGATGCTACTGAAAAAAGCTATGTCCCTCAACGCAAGATTTTCTAGATAGATAAGCTATGCCCTTAAATATCCATATGCTTGTAGAACTTTTAAAAATGGTTTTGGTGGAAAAGAGATGTTTGTGTTTCTATTTATTGTGCAAATTACAGATAAGGCTCATTTCTTTTTCTATCCTTCAGCATGAAAAGATGAAATCAAGAGCCATGGGTTAAATAGACACATTTTGAAAAGCTTCATTAACTTTTTTTTCAAGCCAAATGGGAGTCATTTACTGCTTTTGCTTTCCCCAGCTCAGCCAAAAGAATTAATGTGTTGGGAGATGAGAAGTGGTGGGGGAGACTGTCGTCCCTGGAATTTCGGGGCTCAATGTGAAGCATGTTTATTTAAATGGGGGAGTGTGTGTTCATTTTGGTGTGAGAAGAACAGAGTCATAAGACACAAAGCCTAGCAAGAGGAACCCAGGAGACGGATCTGATTTTCTGGAGAAAGAAGGAAGGGGCAAGATAATAGCTGTACTCTGACAGGGCATTCAGAGATCATCACCTTAAATTTGGGAAAAGTTCTCAGAAAACAGAAGTGGTTTCATTTCCACGGTTGCTAATGGGAAAATGGCTTCTGTATCCAGGATGGGTAATTGGCATTGCCTCTCCTGTAGCTCATGTTTTTCTCAGTTTCCTTTTGGATTTGGATGAGGCAGGATGCCCACAGACTGATCTGATCAGTCTCTAATTACCCACCCAAGTGAGTGAGATATCAAATCTGACAAAAACTGTGGAGAGGAAGTTACACGGAAATTCTGGACTTCTGTATCTGAAAATCCTGATACTTACATTATCAGTTTGGGTCAATTTAAATCATTGTTTCAACTTATCTGTCTTGTTTTTCAGGAGATAAGTTTTGGAAACACATTTTTGTGTGTATTGTTTTTACAAATATAATAGTTTCTTTGCATTTGTCTACAAGCCTACAGGAAGGCTTATGATTCTTGATTATGGTTAGAGTCTGGAGCATATTTAATGGACTGGAGCATATTTAAATTGGAACTGTGCTATAAATTGGACTGTGATATAAATTGGAACTCTCAAATAATCTGGGCAAGGAGGTTGGGGTGGAGAATATGTTCACAAAGAAATAAAAAGATCATTCCAGGTTTTACTTTTCCCTATGCTCCCCCAGAAACATGGGCAGTAATGAACTGGGGTGAGTGTCCATGAGGAAATACAGATCCCTAGAGACCAGTTTCAAAGTCCTCAGACAACCTCTCTTCCTTAGCTCTTGCTTTTGTTTGATTCGTAGGAATGGTCAAGACGAAGCATTAGGAAGACCACAGAAGTTGGGGGATTATTAGGTCCATGGTCCTGAAAAAGAAAATGTTAAAGATGACAGGTGTTGCTAAACACCCACTTATTATTAGAGCCAAACACATATAGATAGGCCTGTGTCCCAAAATAGACAATAACTCCAGTGTCTCTCAGGCTAACCCCACACTGGAGGAACCTAAGTGTGTTGTTACTATTGCATTCTTAGTGGAGAATTAATGGAATTAATTAGTGGAATTAATCGATCACTTTGTTGCCTTGTTTGGGTTCGGTTTGCAGTTCCTTGGTTCATGGATGGATCTTGGATCCTCAGATGAGTCAGCCCAGCTGTAAGCAGCAAGTAGTGATACAGCATCAGAGTGGATGACAGAAGGAACGGAACCAATAATGGAGTGACTGGCAGGGTTGTCTGGTTCCTGGGTGGCCGTGGCCACATAAACAAAGCTCTGCCCTTGTGAGTGTGTCGAGAAGAGTTACACTAGTCCCCTCACCCAGGAAAGTCAGCAGCTGAACCACCAGCAAAAGCCAGAAAGACTTGTCTTTCTTCTGCTTTTTCTCTTTTAAACAATCATCCCTAGATCTTCTCTGCACCACTTTAAATAAAAACACAAACCTAATGACATTTTTAATGCCTAATTTATTCATGGTGATCATGTCTCAGGTAAATGTGGTACCAAATGATTTTTGTGTAATAATCCTGGTTTCAGAATTCGATCATTGTTTTAATATGGGTTCTCATGTGCACACAAAGTGGAATCTGTGAGAAACTGGCAAATATAGGCAGCCACTTAACTTGCATAATATAAATAACTTGCAATACCCAATGACTCCAGTGCAGTAAGTGGTCTTCTGTACCACTTACTTTGAATGGAGTGTTGCTCCATTCAAATCAGCCAACCTCAGCAGCAGCAGGAGGCTTCAAAGATGTGATTCAGAAATGAAAACACTGTGGAGGTTTTCAAAGTCCCTAAGATCTTATAGGCAATCCTGCTCATTTTAAAACTTTCTTGTGATGATAAATGATATTCATAAAATAAAGAAAATGTGGCAATTAAAGTAGTCTAAAATAGCATCTAATTTATGTACAACAAAGATAGAGCTTGAGTGAAAAAGAGGTATATTTTAGCTCTAAATCAATAGTAATATGCAGTAAGCCTTCATATGCATGATTTTTCTAGGTGACCGTAGGGACACCTTGCAAATATTAAAGGATTAAACATTGATAAAAAATGTGTTCACTAGGAAATTCCTTACAACTGTGCATTCATAACTGTTATAACAACAATAATAGGAATTATAGGAACCTACTTAATGGTGTGGTCAGTATGGATTTAAATCCCCCAAATGATGTTTTCCAAGGCAGAGGTTTACAACTACCATTTCCAGTTAATTTAGGCTTTGGCACAACTATAGTCTTTAAATAGCAGTTTAAATTTTTGATAATCATCATTGCCTCAAAGGTAGTTTTGGATTTAGGACCCAACCCTTTTTTCTTTTTTTGAGATGCTTTTATATTGAACAATAACACGTGGTCCAAATATTCCTGTAGCATAAGTACAGACCAAAGTAAATGTATTTTATATTACATTTTGAAGGAGAAAAAGTTTATATTTTACTAATTGTGATTTATAAATCCTAAATGTATGTACATATATACATATATATGTATCTGGACTTTTCTGTTTCAATGACACTTTTAGTTCTCACACAATCAAGGAAAATATTCTGTTACTTATGAGATAAAATGAGAGTGAAGGATCTAAGGAGTCTCTTCCAAAGCATAGGGAACCACTGCAGAAAAATAAACTGAACTTCTCTGTGGTCAATAAGAGGAGTCACTTCAATAACTGAGGACTGTAATTTATACTACATAGCCAATATATCTATACCAAAGGGATTTTCAAACTTACATAATGAACTCCACACTCAAAGCGAAGGCCCTTTGAAGAATGCAAATACAAGAACCCTATTTTAAGGAGCAAGCAGTATCTGTGTGAAAATTCAAAGATGGACTATAAACCCTGATGGACTTGACTTTCGTTCTTGCTTTGTCTCTAACTTCACGGCGTAACACTGGGTAACTTGACCTTAACCCCTGCTCCCACATTAATAAAAACTGAGATACACAGCACAACTTGCTGAACCAAAATGTGTAAAGTCGATTTCATTGTGCCTGGCAAAGAGCAGATGCCCAGTGTCTGCACTTCTCTGAAACAATTCTCATGTCTTTGTTTGGCTAACTTTTCATCTTTCTCACTTGAATTCAATATAAATTCCTTCTTAGGAAAGCCTTCTCTGATTCCCCAGACTTAACTAGAACCTTCTATTATACTCTTTCATAGCACCTTGTATACCTCTCTGATTCTTATAATTTTAACTAATCATGTAATTGATACTATAAATACCAGAAGGGCATTGAATATGTTTTTCTTATGTTCCCAGTGTCTAGGGAGTATATATTTTGATTACTTTATATTAAATTCATAAAAATAACTATTGAATGTGATACTGGTTAGTCCACATAAAAATTAAGATGAATAACACAGGGTCTTGATGCTTAAGGAAGTAACAGTTCAATTAGTTAATTAGCTAGAGAGCTAGATAAATAGATAAGATTACAGATATTACAAGTGTATTAATTCAGAAGAGAGGGTTTCAATGAACATTGAGAAAACTTGATGCTTTATATGGATATTATTCTTACAATGCCCACATAAAGTCAGTCCATTTAGAAGAGAAAAATACCAACATCAAATAAGAACGTCATGCCTTTTTATAGCCATAAGGAGCTGACAAGATTAAAGTCAATAGAAGATGACTAAGAGAGTCTTTGAAAATAACAGAATTCACAACTCAAATTCCCTAGTTTTCCTCCCTTTTCCTAGCTTTGTCATCTTTGTTTCTCAATGATCAGCTAGTGCATGGAAGGACTGTGCAGCTAATTATAATTTTATGAAGGGACAGAAAAGACATATCCAGAGAACATGAAGAAAAGTCCTTTCTGTATTTTTTAATTACATTCTATCATTTTTTTACCCTTTCATTCTTTAAGGAAAATCCTTTTTTGTTGTTTTTTACTTTTTTATCTTTGAAACTATAATCAGAGCACTTTTTAGGTCATGGTTAATGTTAGAAAGTGTTTGTGGGATGGGTAAATAAATATGAATTTTCAAACATTTGAGGATGACCTATGGAATTTTGGCCCACACATCTGCAAAGATGATGACTAGTATACTATGGGCCTAATCAAATATTTTTGCTAATGATTTTTTGTTTTATGTTGCATTGACTCTATTACCTTTATCCTTCAGAACTGAAGTCTTCCCAGATTTTTCTTTTTTAATTTCTGCAAGAAGAATCATGAAAAGGAAAGGTTATAATGAATAATGAAGATAAAAATGGCAAGTTTCTTGATGTGTTCTGTTTATTTAGGCCTAAAAAACTCAAAAGGTCTATGAATTGATATTCAAAATATAGATATATACTGAGATAAGATGCCCATAAAACACTGACCTAAATATGCAGAAGATATAAAATAAGTTTATAAATTATTATTACAAGGGTCAAGTTATGATAAACACAAAATAGGCACAAATATTTGGTTGGTCAAAAAGTCCATTTAGTTTTTTCCCATAAAATAAAAGACACAATTTTTATTTTCACCAATAACTTTATTGATTTGGATATTTTGAGTATGTTGGCTATCTCCCATGTGTCATACTGTTGGTTGTTCTCAATTAATGCTGCGATTTGATTGTTATCAATTTCAACAGGTCTACTGGACTCTAAGGCATGGCCTACGGGGGAAAATGTCCAGCACAAAACTTTGTAAACCACTTCTTTAAAAACTATTTTATTGTTATTTTGTTACAGTTGTCCCAGTTTTCCCCCTTTGCCCTCTACCCAGCCCGTCCTCAACTCCCATAGCCAATCCCCACATTGCTGCCCTTGTCTGTGGGTCATTCATACATGCTCTTTGACTAGTCTCTTCTCCTTCCTTCCACCATTATCCCTCTACCCGCCACCCCTCTGGCCACTGTCAGTCGGTTCCATGCTTCCAGGCCTCGGGTTCTATTTTGCTTATTAGTTTATTTTGTTCATTAGAATCCCCTTATAGGTGTTATCATTTGGTGTTTGTCTTTCACTGACTGGCTTATTTGCAAACCACTTTTTACATGTTTGATCAATCATAGCACCTTCTGCAAACACTGCACAAACCCTTTTTTTTTGCATTTCAGTCATATTTTTACCTTTCTTGAAATAATAAAACATAATATGTTAAAAATGTTGTATATTTTCTTCCATCTTCAATATTAAAATGGCTACACAAAAGTTTACCAATCTTGATAATTAAAAAAAAACACATGCTGATATGACAGCTGTCACAATACAATCTAACAAAGTAGTTCCAAGTGAAATTAGAGACAATTAAGTGCTACTAGAGCCCTCTTACAATAAAAACCAATGAACTCTTTGGCCATCCCCAATAAAATGCAATGGGCTTTGGGGAGAGAAGGTAGGGTAACAATAATGCCTAACATTGTCTACTTACTATGTGTCCCAGGAAATGTCTTCTGTTTTGTCATTCAGCATTTACAACAACACTATATGGTAGATAGGTACTGTTCTTATTCCCGATTTTCACATAAATGAATTAAGTAACTTTCCCAAGGTCAAGTAGCTCTTTAAATTGGAGACCTGGGATTTAAACTGATGTCTCTCCGAACTCAACCAGAAAAGTACAGGCTCTGGTAGCCGAATGATGACATCAGGAAGGGCTGTGGTAGTTGGTACTGAGGCCAACCTTGAAAGATGGGAAAAAATTAGACCAACAGAGATGAAGTGGAAAGAAAACACATTTTAGGAGAAGAGAAGAGAGAATAAGGAGGCCTGGGCTTTGCACGTCTCTTGTAACCAACACACTATAGTGGAAGTGATGATGTGACTTTCTAGGCTCAGACAGGAAAAGCCATGCAGCTTCCTTCTGCTGCTCCAGGAACACTAGCTCTGAGGAAGCTGGGTGCCATGTAAGTACATGACACCACCATGCAGTGGACGTTACATATGAAGTATGTCCAGAAAAAGCTCAACCATTGTTAATATAGTGAGAATGGTTTGCATGACATCGATGTAACCTGACAGCCTAGGAGAGTGGGCTGGAATGCACATGTGTGAACAATGATGAGTTCATTGTACTAGTCAGCAGGGGCAGTAGACACCACTGAGTGAGCATGTATACTGTGTGACCTTCACATTCAAAATGACTGAGTGAGTAGAGCAACAAATCTGTATCAAATTTTGCATTAAGTTTGAACATTCTTCCACTGAAACTGTTTGGATAATTCAGAAGGCCACAGCTATGAACAACTGGTGATTGGCAGCTCACTCATGCATCATATCTTCTGCAGAGTTTTTTTTTGTGAAACATCAAATCACTCAGGTGACTCAGGACACTACAGTCCAGTGGTGCCCTGTGACTTATGGCATTCCCCAAAACTAAAATTGCCTTTGAAAGGGAAGAGATTTCAGACTGTCAATGAGACTCAAGAAAATATGACAGGGCAGTTGATAACATGGAAATTGGGAGAACCATGTGAAGTCCCAAGGTGCCTACTATGAAGGGGACTGAGGCATCATTGTCCTATGTACAATGTTTCTTTTATTTGGCATCTTTTTCAATAAATATTTTTATTTTTCATGTTACATGTTTGGATACCTTCTGCACAGACCTTGTATAAGCAGTCCAGTCAACAGCTCAAGCTGTGCTCCCAGCCAACAGCTAGCAACAACAGCTAGACATGCAGACAAGCCAACCCGGACATCCCAAAGTTGGTTACTTTAGATGACTAGTGTTCAAACCCACGCCTGACTGAAGTCATATGACATGCTCAAGTGAAAATTTTCTGGTTGATCTCTTCTGAATTCCTGACCCTCTAAATCATGGGCACAGTAAAATTGGTTGTTATTTTACATGACTAAGTTTTGGAGTAGTCTGCACATGGAAACAGTCCAGGAAATAGCTAATGAATAGCAAAATATTACATACACCCTGTGCCATGTAACTTTTCCAGTAGAGATAGATATAGAGATAGCAGATAAATTATTTTCAAAATTGGGGAAGGTTTCCAGTGATAAGATGCCAGTTGGGTTTAGGATCTCACTGGTCAGGAAATGCAAATTTAACAGTATAAGGGGGTGTAGGATCAGTAAATCCGATTATTTAAATAGCTGAGTATCAAATTAAAAAAACAACTCCTGTTTACTTGGTTTACAGAGTGATAATCTGCCATCAATTAAGATATGAAATGTGTGAAGAGAGGCCTTTGGAGGAAGATATATTCTTTGTTTTGAATATATTGTGTTTCTTTGTTAACAAGATACTCAAAAAGGCAATATCTCACTCAGCTGGAAATACAGGTGAAGTGCAGATTATATACAAGTGTTGCAGAAGGAAAGCAATCTGCAGTCTTGTTTATAAATGGAAACTGTCACTATAACCAGTAACACGATGTTCCCAAATCTCATTTACTTTGTTCACACAGATTGACTTGATTTAGTTTCATAAACTAGATGAAAGCAAAATAAGCCAGAAAGTTAAAAACTATTTTTATACATGCATTTAAAAATACTGAATTCATGTATGGTAATATTTTACTTACATGTTTCAAATCCAATGTAATATAATTTGTCTTTATTAATAGCTATATTATTATATATTGGTGATAATAACTTAATTTTTCTGAATTTTGATTAGCTATTGCCAGATGTTTAAAAATGAACACACAGACAATTATCAAAATAGCTATGCAAGACAAGTTTTAAATAATTAACTAGATAAAATTATTTCTTAAGAAAAAATATTCAGTTTCAATAAACCAAGGATTTTAAAAGTTAAAGGCCACAAAAAATAAACAGAAAATAGTATTTGATTTTTCTTCAAGTATTAGCATAAAACAGATAAAATGTACATATAATAATAGTGTTTCCTTCTACAACAATTTTAAAAAGGCCTATGAAACAGACAAAAGACTGAAATAATGCACAATGTTGTAAGAGGAAATAGGCATTAGGGATCTTCTCTGGTACAAACACAAATATTTTGAACTCCAAACAAAGTATTTTAAGGAAATAGTAGTAATAATTATTATCTTTGATTTGGCCATTATTTCTTACTTGTTGCTCTGAAGAATCAACTTTAATATCAGTTTATTATTATTGACATTAAGATTTAACTAAAACGTTTCTGTTAGAGCATCTTAGCTTCATGTCAATGTTAAATCCAGGTAGACTGGGAAAAAAAACAAGAAGCCAATGCTGAGATTGGAGGGTTTAAAAGCTCCTAACAAGCTCATCAGGCAGTTCAGATTCCTGGCTGTGTAAAGAACCAAACTGAAAAATTTTAACTTTCCTTACCTACCTAGCTCTACTGAAGTGTTTGGAAATATGTCAGAAAATGACTTTCTTACCTCTTTTGTAGATATAAGATGCCTACTAATTTGAGATATTTTTAATGGACATGATAAATAAAATCAAAGTATCAACTTTTTGGACTTTTCTCCTTATGGAAAGAATAATTTTTTAAAAACCATATAGAAAGGTTTATTCATAAGTTTAATGATACCTGGTAATTTCCCAGAGTAGGGTTATTAATATACATGGCACCACACATTTAAAATATTGAAATTACTATATAAAACTTGCATTTTTTTAAGTGATGCCATATTTCCTGATGTGATTTGGTTTTTAGGAATTGCATATATTCTTAATAATTAGTATGTAAATGTCCTACCAATACTTGTCATTGTTCATGTTTATTTGGATATAATTTTGACAGTTAGAGGCATTTTAGAAAAAGTATTTTATGGCATTTTATATCTTCTTCAACCACCCAAATATAAGTTTTATATATAAATACAGAGAAAAATATCCTCAAATTGCCCAAATGGTTTAGAATACTGCTTGGAATTCACACGAGAGAAAAAAATATATACTGGTGTTTCATTGAATATTAAATTTGGATGTTTCTGAAAAGGTATAAGGGTTTAATTTTACTCAGGACATTGTCCATTAACTTTATAATTAAGTGTGACTTGGTAAGAGCCATCTTTAACTTTGTCCTAATTTAGTCATTCCCTATTCTGTGGGCTAAAGAACTTGGCACATATATTTTTTAAATTTTAAAATATTTTCTTCTAAATATTTGTTTACAAATCCTTAGTGTAAACATTAGCCATTCATTACAATCAATAAGCCAATATTGATGCATCATTATTAACCACAGTGCACAATTTACATTAGGGTTAACTTCTAGTTTTGTACATTCTATGGATTTTTGACAAATGTGAA